AAAATCACCATCAATCAATTGCAAAGCTTTACTTGGAACAGCTTACATCCTGCGACCGTATCTGTAACACCATCGAACAACATCTGCTTATCCCAGATCCCTTGGGAAGGACTCGATAGGTGGGTAAAAATGCCAAATAGAATCTAAACATCTGACTGGCTGTGTGACCAACCATAATTACAACAACAACAACAACACCTTGTATCCTGCCCAATTCTCAATGACTCTGGAAAGTTCACAACAATCAAAGAAATTATAATAAATTCAATAAAACAAAAATAAAATGAAAATAAAAAATGGTAAGCTCAATGAAGTAAAGGCTTTCCGTCTCCTTCACCAAAGGCCTGGGTGAAGATAGATAGAAGTCTGTTAGAATGAGTTCTTTCCTTTGTTTTCTGCACTTTTGCCTTTATTCTTTCCTTATTTCTTTCTTCTTCTTCCTTTATTCTAAACATTAGTTCTTAGATTTCATTTTCTGTCTTAAAATTGTAATATATATATATATGGAAGTATATTAGAATGACTTATTTCATGACACATACTTTTATCCACTTTGGGTTTCATCATACGGGGGTCATTGTTCAACCCAAACACTCGACATGTGTGATATTTAGAATCTTCTGAAGTAAGTTGGATCCAGAATCTGCCTTCTATGCATCAAGGTCTAATTTTGTCCAAGGGAGACTTCAGATTCAGAGAGATCTTTCCCTATCAATCCCCTTTCAAATCTGACTGGAATAATTCAGCAGTAATCTTTGTGCATGAACTAAACTTTCTTTCAAAAACTCTTTAAGTACAGGGAAGCAGGAATGTTTCTGCAGCTCAGGACACTGTTTTTTTTTATTCTGTATCAAAATACCGTCAGTTCCCCCGCTCCTGCACGCAACCAGCATGCTATAAATTGGAGCAAGTGTTCATGATGTATTGTTGCTCTATTGATTTTTTTTTTCCAGCTCCGGGAACCACAGCATATAATGGAACAGGTGGCCAATGCAGCAAGTTATTTTTAGCTACACCTGCCTTTTAAATTACAATTGCTGATGTTGATATTCTGTTCTCATGCCTGGAGACCACCTAAAGAACAAGAGCTCAAAATGAAGGCTGTCTTACATGCATTAAGGAGTGTTAGCTGGCACTCACCCAAAATAATGGGTGAAATAAAAAAAAAAATTAAAGGCACAGTGAAGCACTTAAAACAGAGAACTTAGAATGGTGTTTCATTTTTATCAAACTCCTACCCTGAATAAGACATAGCTTTTGGCAGGGGAAAAAAGGGAGCAAAAATATTTTTCAGCTTGGGAAAAAATTCAATAAAAATACTAACTTTGTTTAAACATAAATGTAGGACATCACAGCCAGATAACATGCATATTGTTTACATTAATAACCAGCTGTTGTCAATTAGAAAAAAATCTTGAAGAAAATGGCTTTAATGTCATAAGCAAGAATGCACTTGCAATTAACAACATGAAATAAATATAGCAGCATTTTACCCGACAATACATTTGAGCTGCTTTCCCCATCCAGCTGAATTTTAAAAGACCATGCATATACTTTACACTGTGAAATTAAATTGGTTGCTGTACTATACAGCATATTCTCTTTAAGTGAAGATGTTGCAGATCAGATACTTTCATACATAAATTCTAAGGGATATATCTCTAGAAAGCAGCATGGGGGACCTGGACAGGTAGAAATGGTGATCTTATTTCAAAGTCCTGCTAAAGTGCTGCAATTCTGTAGGTTTTTATTTAGAAGTAAACTTCACTGAGATTTTTCAAGCTATTGAATCAGAGGTAAACATTTATGGATTTGTCTCTTTAATTGGTCTAGTTTATGGAACTATAATGAACAAACCAGAGGTTCTAGGCAAAGGAAATGGAGATATGTTGTATATCACAAGGTACAAACTGTACTAAGGAGTATCATCAGGATCTGGTAAGATCTTAAATAAGATACTCTCTAAGGAGCCACTTTTTAACTTGGAACTACTGTCTTCCTTCCTCTCCCTCCAACCCTAAACTGCACAACTAAGAAGAAGAGGACACAAAAGAAATATGAAATATTGTTTCAGTCTTTGAAGGTTGGACAGGAGAAAGAAGGAACAAGAGAACATTTAGTAACAGTCTTCTTCAAGAAATCTTGCAATGCAGAGGTCAAACATAAAGTCTGATTAATAGAACTAGGCTTACGGTCAACTAGACAAATGGTTGTGAGATTATATACCTTGAGTACTGTATTTGGACTGGAAGAGGAACAATAGGGTATGAACCGCCGAAAGAAAAACACTTCTAGTCACTAAACAAATTATCAATAACTCTGACAGATTAAACAAATCTACGCAACAGCAGTTCAAACATATTTTCATTTTTCTGTCTTCCATTTTGTCAAAATTTATGCTTGAATTTGTTTTAGTGTTACCTATACACATTGATTGGGATTACGTTAATTGCAATCCTAGATATGCCTACTAAGAAATAAATCTCCTGTCTCTTACAATATGCAAATTTAGTTCACAAATTCAAACTCTTATGGAGGAAGAGCAGGATACAGAAGTAGAAATTAAAACGAACACTGTTCAAAAAGTACGCAAATCCTTAAGGAAACTACTTTTAATTTCATACATTTCCTGCAAAAACTGTTCATTCTGTTTGAAAAATATAAACCAAATGCTTTTCCTATAAATTCCATGAAAGGTAACTCTTCAGTTCTGCAAAAGTATATGACTTGGAAAGGGGAGTATTTTCAAAAACAAAGACATGTTTATGAAGATAATATGAATTTTAGAATCAGATTCAAATATAAGTTAAATGTCAAACAGTAATAACATTCCTGAAGAATGCTTCAAGTGATAACTTACACCAAGTTTTGCTTTATCAGCAATCGGGAAACACGATCTGAACTTCAGTAAAAAGAAACCCCCGCTTATATGTACAGGTATTTGCAGTTACAAGCTAAAATGACGACAATCGTTAACCTATTTAAAGAGATTTGAAGTTTTATAGCAACACATTCTACCCGAGTCTTGAAAAGATCATAAAAACAATTTTTAATTTGACAAAATTTCCTTTTGAAGACAATGTAACACCAGATCTAAGAGATATAGGCTCAACTTAAATAATCATTTGAGATATACTCTGCAGGTGACCAGTATGCCTACTAAAATATGTTTAAATAATAAATATATCAAACTCTTTGGATGTTTTACCAACTCTCTCCGTTAGTTTTTCTCCCTAAGTTTCTACAAAGTGCTACAATACTATTATTTAACCACATAATAGTTAAGGTACACTGCAACATGGTTTCTTTACCCCACAAAAATTTAGCAAACTGAGTTATTTCAGAGAAACTGCAGCATGGAAGGAAAAAAACTGTATTTTTAAAAATATTTTAAACTGATTAAGCTACACATATATGGGAATGCATGGATTCTGAAAAAAATGAAGTTGGAAGGATTTAATGAAAACTTATTAATAATAAATATTTTTATACATATCACAGTGCTTGATAAGTTAGAATCAATGCTGAATTGTTTGATTCTTATTTCCTGGTATGTTTAGGATTACAGCCCAGAATAATTTATTTTGCGGATAAGCTAAACTGAATTTGATGGGGCTTACATCAAAGTAAAGATGACAAGAAGGAGTGCAGAACTTTTTAAAATATGGAGTTAGCATAGCTCCAGAACACTATGTGTAAATGTAAACTATTCATTAAGCTTTTCATTGCATCATATTAAAACGGTTTAGGAAAAGCATAAAAATCCACTCAGATAAAATAGGTTTATTTAAAAGTTATTTTCAGCAAAATGAATATGCAAAATACAAACTCTGTCAAAATGTTCATTTCACTTCATAGTTTACAAAATATACAAAATAGAAGTCTCCTTAAATTTATATTACATATTTAATATGTAAAGACCTATATAGAAAAAAAATTTGTTCTGCTTAAGGCATTTTTGTGAATAAACCATTGTACAAATTATTGCACATTGAAACCACAGTGCATTACAGACTGTCTGCATAGAAAATTAAACAAACACAAATAAACCAGGTTTATTAACCTGACTTAGGTCATCATTAATTGTAGATCGGAAGACAAATGTATTTCCTTGTCAAATATGCAGCAGTTTGAGAACTTTGGCTTCCTTTTTTGGTACCTTAAGAACCAAATGTCATTCAGCACCATGAAAATAGACTTTTAACCACAATTCTGTACCTGAATTTCTTCTTCTTCTTCTTCCCATTTGACATAGTTTAATAATGGCTTTTGGAAGGTAAAAGAAATTGCAAGATTATATCATGTTTACAATATTGCATTGAAAAGAAATTTTAAGGGAATTTAGGGTGAAGACAGGAATGACATTCAAAGAGAAATCATAGTGGATTTATTATTATTGCCACAATATGAGCCAGGCTAGCTCAATGCTTTGGAATTAACAAGCCTTTTATAAAATCAAATGGTGCATCTGGGATCAAGCTCGTATTTCTCAACTTCCTTAAGGTATGCTGCTTTTAGATCCTATTTAAGTACGATATGTACATTTGCTTTCTCCCCATAACAATACATTGTTTAAAATTGTAACAAAAGTGCTTTGGAAATTTGGTTTTCTCTCTTCCAAGGAAAAAACTAAAGCTTTTGGCCTGATTGAGGTAAAGAACCTTCAAAAGCAGGGTTGTTGTTCTACTAGTGTCATATCTGTCTTCACCAGTTGGTTCCCTACGTAATTTCCCATCCATCCATCCATCCATCCATCCATCCATCCATCCATCCATCCATCATCCCTCCCTCAACATTTGTGTTAACCCTGATATCCTTGACTTCCAGTCAGTCCTTGGCATTCTGTAGTCCAGAAAGATTCAAGTCAGATATTTTAAAAAATGGAATGATGATATTAAATCCAGTCATTGTTCCCTTTGTTTATTAAAAAAAAGTCCATATTTGTTTAAAATTGTTCATTCCTTTTGGTCTCCTCCCCTCCTTTTTTTTTTTTTGGGAAGACTTCACTGGGATTTTCTGTAGTGCTTTAAAGTGGAGTCCTTCCCTCGTGTGGAAGACAGTCCTTGTGCTGTCAAATACTGAATCTCTCCAGGCTGTAAAGATAAAGTTCCTTGTGTCCTTCTCAAAAGTGTCTCTTCATGTGTAAGGCGAGGTGGTCAGACCTGGAAAATGCTCTGTCACACCTCTGGCACTGGAAAGGGCGGTGGCCTGTATGCTTTCTGTAGTGACGTGTAAGTTCATCGGAGCGGGCAAATTTCCAGCCACAGCCTTCCCAGTCACAGTGATAGGGCTTCTCACCTTCAGAAATAAAGAGCCACATCAATTACTTCTGCATTTGGGGCAAATATTGGAACAAGCCTCAATGAATGGACCAAGAAATAAATACAAGTCCCTTTTCAATTATCGTTAACAAATTCTAGAGACACCTGTTACTATCCTTGCAGATTCAAGAAAACTTGGATACGTGTGTTCTATTGGCTGAGCAAGGCCGTCTCATATGAACTATTGCCTATTTCTCCCCCCCCCCTAGAATTCTGAAAAGTAGTTTAATTACATACATGTTTTCCTATAATGCAGACATACATTTAGGTTACAGTCCTTTCTGTTCACTAGGTTTGGAAAAATTAAAAAGAAGCTGTAATAATTACGTGTTTAGAAACGGCAAAATAGAAGAAAATGAAAGGGAATAGGATACTAAACCTGTAACTATGGGAGCCACCTGTGGCTAATGAGAATTGCTTTGGGGCATCTAAGGAGGCACATGTTACTTTTTTTAAAAAAAAAAAAAACTATTTTAGGGCATTTTCACTTTCAAAAGATTACACTAAGATACTATTCGTGGTTGGCCAGGACTTATTTAAAAATCAGTTACGTGCTATAGGTAACAATGATTCGGCTTTATCACCAACGATTGCAAAATATTATCTGTCAGCAGCCTATTTATACTTAGAAATCAGGACATATTGTAGAAACATAAAAAGACAATAAACAATTTTACTGATTGTGTGGCAATATGACCTATGCACTCCTTTTCTTAAATTCTTTTCTGACTGCTTCTGGATTAAAATGGCATGGAACTATTCCTATCATCTTTCAGTTACGGACAAAGCCAACCAAAAAAAAATAGCACTAAGAAACATCTTAATGAAGCTTTCATGTTTAACTATATGTTGTTTTCATGAAAGTTTCAACCTATCAACCTCGTTAAGAAATTTCGTTTAAAGTTCAATCTCCTAAGCCACCTGGAGAACTGAAAGAGTTTAATTCCATGTCTGAACTCTGCACTTATACCACTGTTACCACAAATGGGCTGATAATCTCCACCGTTCTTACATACAGGAAATGTCACTGAAATCAACGAAACCGTTTCCAAAATCAGTGTTTCAAATTAGGATACTATCTTGCTTAGTTTTTTATTTTACAAGGCAGCCCAAATAATTTACCTGGAGATAAATCTTTGTTTGGAATAACTTAGAAAATATTGGGGTAGGTTGGTAGGTAAAGTTCATGTTCCTGCACTTTTGACACACAGTTAATCAGAAACCATAGGTACATTGCCATTTTAAATATATTGACTTAAAATTAAGCTCTTTTGGAAACTAAGATACTTTCTTCCAAGGCAACATGGGGTATGTGAGGTAAACTGACAATTTTCAAAATAATAATTCATAATTTGATGTCTATATAAATCTTAGCAGCAAATTCTAATAAAATTTTCTACAGGTAGCTGGAAAATCCAGATTAGAGATTTTCCAGAGCTAAAAAAAAAAGAACCGTCAATACTTTGTGGGAGAGCAGTCTGGTTTAAATAAATTCAAAACAACTCCAATATAAAACTTGATTTCCTGGATCATAGTCAGTAAACTAAGATTTGGTAATTTCTAGAAAATGAGAATGAACAGGAATCATAAGGCCAAAACAAGAGCAAGAAAATAAACAAATTGTGGTTATTTGCAACAACCATTCCCCTGAAGAAACATGTCAATAATGTTATCAGGATAAACATGCTTAATCCAGTTTGGATTTCTAGCTACCTTGTAATTAACTAGCCACATGGCCATAGCCAGGCAAGCAATGCTCAAGCACCTATTTGCAAAACAATTCCTCTGCCAGGGGTGAGTCATTTTGAGCCATTTTAACCAATACCTTCAATGTGAAAGCAAATCCACAATTGTAATGGGCTTTTGACAGTTAAACTCCTATGTTAATGGAGAAGACTACAACCCACTATTTAATACAATTGTGAAACAGTGCTATTCTAACTCCTTGTGTTAATAATAGAGTTGTGTTCTAATCCACACAAACTGGACACTAGCAATTTTTCCCCCTCAGAGATGGATGTGGTTTGAGAGCAAAACATGGCTCCTTAGAGTATGCCTGTTATCCATTGAACAGGATTTGCAGGTTTCTTTCAACCCCCCCCCCCCAACTAGTTAAGCAATTCTGGGAAAGGACAAAAACGTTCACTCATATATGCCATGTATCATGCTACACCTCTCAAATAATTCCCAGAACTTTTTGCTGGAGTTGTAGGGGTTTAAAACTGCAGTTCTAAGCACACTCAGAGTGAGATACCTCTGAGAAAACATTCATAGGATGATTGCTAAATATAGTAGTTAAAAGTGGTGTGAAAGTGGTGTACAATCTTTCTTTTTCCACCCACTATTATCTCTCATCAGACAGGTTCCACTGGCTCTAAAAACTAGTGTATGGACTCGATAGAGGGATAATGGCTGGGTCCATTTTTTCTATAATTTGCGCTGAAAATAGATGATCTTCAGTCATGTACAACATGTGGCCAGTGTGGCAGAGGATGTCCAAATATCTTTAAGCACAAACATGACTAATCCCAATAGCCTTTCAGTAAAGTGCTGTATTGTCTACATTAGAACAGTCTTCTGGTACTGTTGGAGTAAAGCATTATTAAACTGCCCTTACCTGTATGGGTCCGAAGATGTGCTTTGAGGTGAGAGCTCTTTGTATATGTTTTACCACAGCCTGCATATTCGCAGGTGTGTGTGGCAGTCCTTTTCCTGGGCCATGACCTCCGTCCCCGCTTGGGCTTGGTCTCTTCAGAGAGGCAGCTTCCCGAAGGCATCAGCTCTAGAGGTGAAGAGGGCGGAGTCAGCATCATCCCTTGCACCAAGCGAGGCATACTTAAAAGCTCTCCAAAAACATTTAGACAGTAAGACTGACCTTGATACTGGAGGGCGTTGGGTGGCAGCTGCTCTGGAAGAAAAGGAGGGTAAGCTGGGCCAGGATGATAGCCTGGAGGAAGTGGAAGAGTTGAATGACTTAAGCCCTGGGGAGAAGGGTGGCAGTCCCTGGGAGACATCATCTCCTCTGGAGTCAACGGAGGATTAGTCCTACTAGGTAACGGCCGACCCAAAGAGAAGTCGTGCGGCTGGGCCCTTGAAGTATTCCCATGGGATTGGCCAATGGTACATGATGGGGCCGCCTCTTGCTTGATTTTGGGGCACATTCTGGGCACGTGGTTGTACACAGAAGGGGGAACAGGTCCATCCGTGCAGGGGGAAGCTGAAGCAGCAGCACTGTTCTTGATGTGGTTATTGCATTCTCCCATGTTCACTGTAGCCTTCAACACAAATTTCCCATGAAGGCTGCCTAGTGGAAGAGGTGGTGGAGGAGGTGGCTGCTGGGTCTGCTGCTGTTGCTGTTGCATATAAACAGGGTCCAGATCTGGCCTCATCAGTTCAGCTACAAATCCACCCGAAGGGGACACGTCATTGATATCAGCCAGGTTGAAAGGGGCAGCTGGAGCATGTTCTCTAGTGTACATTATACCTCCAGGGTGATCTTCCCTTTGCAGCTGGTAGGAAAAATCACAGGTGGTCACAGGAGGGCAGGTGCTACTTGTGATAGAGGGCGAAGAACCAGGAGCAGTCACAACTATAGCAGCAGCTGTAGGCTGCTCCTGGGGCATCAGGGAATTCGACAAGATGAAATCAAAGTCCAGAAGCTCATTCAACTCTTCCGTCTCCCGCCTTGACATAGTCCCACTGTTGCCGTTTGTGGCGTTTTCCAGCTCAGAAGAGAGGTCAAAATGCCGCCCTGTCAGTATAGGGGGGATCCGCTTGAGGTGAGAAAGCTCTTCCCTCCACTTCTGTGTGAAGAAGATAAAAATGTAGCATTAATGGAAAGTCCCCTTTAGTTTGCTAGCAAAATCAAGTAAGATGTCAAGTATACTTTTTAAAGTATACTTAAAGTATACATTTTCTTGAAATGTACAAGAAAAAAACAGGTACAAGTTATTAATAGACATACAGCATACAGCAAAAAAAATCTTAAAATATGATTCTTTGGATTGTATAATTGAGTTGGCAACTCTACCATAGTGCCACTGGGTTAGTACTCTTTTTTTAAAAAAAAAAAAACACAACCTCTATATACATTTGAAACAGTAGTTGTATAGCCTAAAGAAATCGACTGCTCAACAGTGGAGCTATGAAATTAAATATTCAAGATTGTGAGGGTATCTTTGAGAAAGACTTAGTTACAAAAATATATGTTAGGAATTTTCTTTTAAAAAATCTGCTGCATGAGTTTTTAGGGCCAAGTGTAAACAATTTTCAAACTATCACACGCTAACACAGAACTGCTCATTTTTCCTTCTCCATTTTGTGCTATGTGATTTTTAGGGGGACATAAAGTAGTCGTAGTTTATGCCAGAATTTTAACTGTCAAGTCTGAAACTACAGGGCTTAACTAACTCATTTTTAAAGCCATAATTATTAGTGTCTAGCATGAGCAGCATTCTGCTCAAAGTCGTAAGACAAGATAAAAATAAAGGCATCACTTTGCAATCCTGTCATTAGCTTATACTTACTATACTGCCTCTGTATATAATGTGTGCATTTCCAGTACTTTTATCTATGTATAAAAGCTTTCTTCCAGACCCAATAAATGTGATGAATATACATGACAGACCCCCCCCAAGGTGTTTTTATGTAGTCATAGATTTAGGAAAATACAAATAAACTGATTTTGCAATAATTGCACATGCCACATTAATGCATTACATTGTACTCATTAATAATTAGACACATGTAGGCGTTTTCTGAGGCTGCATGCATTATACAATAGCAGCCAGAGAAGCAAGGCATCAGCCTGAGATGATACAAAGAAAAGCTAACCTAGGCACATGAGTAGGTGTATATATTTCCAGAGGTTGCCAATGTATTAAACATCCCCATCCACACCCATGATTTTGGTTTGTGATACACCACATACTTCAGTTTCTTATTTACTTCATTGTATTCCTTCATGGTATATTTTTCTATCCATGGGCGTTTCCTTTCACTTTATATAAAATGTTGATGTTTAAACTTGAAGCAAAGTCTATGCCTACGCAAATGGTAAAGACGTTTTTGCCACAATCCAAGAATTAAAGGAAAAGAACCCCCCCACACACACACATTTGTATTTACACGGCACACTGAACTACAACCAGCAAACCACATTTTAGTCAAATGGGTTGCCAAACCCAGCCCATGAGTTTAGCCAATGGTTCCTTGCGTTGGGCAAACTCAGAAAGTCTGAATGAGTACATCATGATTAAGTTAGCCATGGTGCATTTTGGGTGAGTGTGCACCCAGTGTGGGTTTTTAGTAAGGCAGTTAATCTCTGGATTACTTTTGAGAGAAATCTCTATGCTCACAGATAGGTGTGCATACAAAACCGTACCACAAAAGTTAAAATGACTTCCTTTACTTTTTTTTTTTTTTTTTAAAAAAAAAGCCTGCTTCCTGTTTTATAGTACAGATACCTGCACCAGGGAAGGACTTTTATTTCTGCAAATCTGATTAGAACTCTGGTCAGAATCCCAATTGCTTTCCAGATTCACGTTCCCGGGGAATATTTTACTTTGGCTCCATTTTTGTCATTGGAGCCATAAAAAAAAAAATCATTCTCTTCTCCCCAAACTGATCATCAATGCCCAAACTGCTTTAAAAAATAAACACAAACGCCTCCTTAACTCGAGCGCCTTTTTTTCAGCAAAGCGAGGGGAGGATTCGCCAAGTTGTATAGTACTTTCTCAGGGTGGCACAAGAAGCCAACTCTACACCTGTTCAAGCACATTCATATATATATGAATGTATATACATATATATACATATATATATGTATATGTGTATGTGTATATATATATATATATATATATATATATATATATATATACACACACACACACATACACATACACATATACATACATACATACATATATATATATATATATAGTAGGAAACAAAACGTGAGCACCAGGAGGTTGTAAAACAGTTAAAAGTTTTAATAAAACTTTTACCCTGACGATGTTGGTAGGATCCAACGAAAGCTAGGTCCTTTTTAATATTCTTTTAAAGGTTTTTAATGTTTTATTAAAACTTTTCACTGTTTTACAACCTCCTGGTGCTCACGTTTTGTTCCGGGCCGATCCCAGGTGAAATCCTTTCCACAGGCTGCAGAATTCCTCCGCTACACCCAACCACCCCGGCGAATACTCACGTTGTGGCCACCTGCTTGTCTCAAGGCTTTTTCCCGGCTGGCCGTGCCCGCCGTGGCGAAGGTGGAGATGGAAGGGAGGAGGGTGCCGCTGAGTGCCATGTCAAACTCGCCGGGGGGCGGCTGCCTGCAAAAAAATGTCAGAGAGGAGAGTAAAGCGACGGGACGAGGGACGAGGCTGCATCCAAGGAAGGAAGGAGGGAGAGAGGGAGGGAAGGAGGAGGGAAGGAGACAGAGCAGCTCGGCCGTTGGCTTCTGCACACTGAAACTTTTAATTCCAAGCTTGGTCGAGGAGGCAGAAAAAGGAGTAGAAAAAAACAGGGGAGGGAAGGAATGCCACCCACCTCATTAACGTGTCAAGAGCCGCTGCGTGGTCGGAAGGCACGGAAAACGGCTATCTTAATTTAACCTATTTATCTGCGGAGAAATATATACGCATATATATATATATATCTATGTATATATATATATATATATTGCAAGTGGAATATTCACTTTCAAAAAAGAAAAAAAGTCCTTTGGATGAAAGGCTGCGGAGCGACTCCTACGAGGAGAAGAAGCCCCGCCAGGGAGTAGAAGTAGCAGCAGCAGCAGCCCAAGCCGCTTCGCAAGTCGGCGGCAGCGTCAGCGGCAGCACCAACAGCTGGAAGGCGCGAGGCAATTCCTGGGGATTCCCTGCTCGCGCCGCTGCCATGAGGGGACTTCTGGAGATTCCACAGCCGCCGCGTGTCCCTGGCTGGCTAACTGGCGGGCGGGCGGGCGGGGCTGGCGCTTTTTCTCGCGCTCTCTTTCTCTCCCTCTCTCTCTCTCTCTCTCTCTCGCTTTTCCTCTCGCACGCGCGCGCTCCGACTTTTTTTTTTTTTTTCCTCCCCCCCTCCTCTTTTTCGGCGGAGAAAGGATGCCCGCGCGGCCCGAACTGTCAAGCCGCGCGCCCGCCGTTGCCTTACTTATAAACTCGACGGCAGCTCCGCCCCGCCCCGCCCTCGTCGCGGAGCCCCGCCCATTTGCGGGGGCTGGGGATGTCGCCCTGACGACGCGAAACAACAAACTTTACTCCCTCCGACACGTGGGGAGGGGAAAGAGGAAGGAGAGAGCGAGCGAGCGAGAGACACACATACTCACACACACACATAGAGAAACCAGGGTTGGGCCGTGACGTCAGCGGAGCAGCTGGCTGGCAGCTCGCGCGCGCTGCTGACGCTCGCGAGGAGGGGCCCTGCGAGGCCCTCGCCGGCCTTCGACGTTTACCCCCGTTTTCTTCCTCCCGCCGGGCAGCGCTCACACCTGTCCAAAGCCACGAGGGAAAGCCGAGCCCGGACGCTTCTGGGCTGGGATGCCCAAGGACCGGGAGGGTGGCTCTCTCTCCGAGGAGCCAACCAGCAATGTCCGGCTTGCAATCCATTAGGATTGTTGCTTTTGGTATTAACGGGAGTCCGATTCCGAGAAGCGCTCAACTCCATGCAAGACAAGTCTTATAGGCATCCTTGAGAGGAAGGAAAATTAGTTGAGGCATTTGCCCGCGATTATAGAATCCTTTGTGGATCTGTACTCATTCATCTTTCTCTTGGCAGTCCATCATACTAATAGGAACCTCAGTGTATGTTCAGATTTGTTTTTTCTCTCGTTGCAAGGGCATGCCTTACAAAGATACCAGCAACCTACAACAGGACTGCAAACCAAAAATATGCTGTTAACCCATCACAAAATTATGCGGAGTCAGATGTCCTTAGCCCGTAATAATGTGATATTTCATTCTGAACAGCCTCCTTCAATATATAAGGGGCTGATAGCCATCCTGGACTAATATCAAGCCTTCACATCTCCAGAGCTAATTGGGTTTAAACTAAAGTCATGAATGAAAGAAAGCTTGTGCTGCATTTGACCATGCTAGAATTTATCACAATTCAGGCAATTTCAACATGAGAGAGGGAACTGTTTTCTTCCTTATGTTTTTTATTCAGAATACTGAAAAGGTCACAGAAGATATTTCACTTTTATGGTTGCCACCTGAATTTAGGTCAGAGTCTTCTTAATTGGCAACAAAGTGTTTGACACTTGCAAGTGCCAATATTCAATTAAGACTCAGTTTTTGTTAATGATTTTATGGCAGAAAAGTCAAATTTATGTCTTTTATTAAAAACATTTCTAGCCCACCCACTCTAATCCAAAGGATTCTGATGGAGATTGAGAGAGTAGGAATTGATTTAAAATGTGGGAAGGGAAGTAAAAATTATATTTGAGTGTGGGAATAACAGGACTAGTCTTTTGTGCAGAAGTTACAACGGCTTTAAGATCATTCTTCTGTGTCACAAGTTTTGATGTGTCACTTGGTTGCGATTCTACTGTCCTTGTTTTAGTTGTTGAAAGGAAAAAGGAACATTTTGTCTTCTCTATCTGACAGTCCATTATTTTATGAGAAAAGTCTGCTTTTTAAATTGACAGCATCTTCCAAAAATATACAGTATTCTATTGCTGTATTTTTTGCCATTGACAAGATTCTTTTTTATTTTGCAATTGCTGAGATGTGAAAAATAACTATGACACTAAAAACAGAATAAATAATACGTGTTTTTGTGTGTGTGCATGTGTGTATAACTATACTTAACTATACTTAACCTATAACTTGATACCTATGTCTGGGCATGCTTGTTGCTTCCCAATCACATTACTGAACACATGTCTTTTGAATTTAATGGAGTTTATTTCAAAGTTCAACTCAGTTCAAGACCTCACTAATTTAGGTCTTTTGAGAGTGTAAATCCTATACAATGAAGTGCAATTATTTACATCATATTTAAGAAAAGTATGGCTTTCTGCCCTGCACATGCACCTTATGGATATAACTTCATGTACACCTATGTACTTAGATAAAAATTTAGATATATTAATATTTTTGCTGCTTTTTATTGTTCCATTTTCTCATACAAGTATGAAAAAGGTTTCAAGTGCCTGAGGAATGTCAGTATTACTCATTATACAGAAGAACTGGACTGGTAACATGGTATCCACTATTTGAGATTGTACAAATAATTCTACTCAAATAAAATAGACTGAATCAGTGCTTTTCTCAGGATCTCTGTTTACAGAAATTTCCTGTGCTACCTAATCACATATTCTAGTGAAAGAATTAGGAAAAGAATGGATAAGATTAAGCTGTAGGAAACTTTAGAAAAACAACAGCAAATTTAATCTTTACCATCATATTGTAAGTGGAAAGTGGAAAGCATGATGATAAACTGGGGCAGCTTTCAGAAGAGGCTTCTTATTTGCAGATTTTTTCATTAAAAATATGTATGGGTGATTATTATTTCCAAATTCTCCAACCCATTTTTTTCTACATAGCAAGTACTTTAATTGGGAAAGAGGGAATAGCGTTTGGTTTGGGAAATACTCTCAATTTCTTTATTTTGAAATAAATATCACTAAATTAACCAAGATTCATTTCTAAGTATCCAAGCTTAAGATGGAAGCTCTGAAAACATAAGTAGCAGAGAGCAAACGTGTTATTAATAACCAGGTACATCTGATTTTACCTCCTTTACTCCCATTTGATTAGATATTTTCCATCTGTTAACATTGCTAGCAACATTTTCATACTTTTGAGACAGGAAAAAAATATTCCACATCCCTCTTGAATTTTATCATAGGTGCCTGAGTACATGCATTTCACATTTGCAAAGTCCATTATTCCCTGGTTTCATCAGATTTATGATGATTACAATTCCTTAGGCTATGTGAGGAGATCTATCTGTATAATAGCTACACTTGAAACCCATTTTGTGAAAAGGAGGTGGGCTTCATATGGTGCTTTTGTGTTTGTAGCGGACTGTCTGCCATGGCCCCACTTCCCAGCTTGTGTTTCATACTTCAGTCCAAATTGGCAAGATATGCTGAAGATTTGAAAACGAATAAATAGTGCTATACCAGGCCTCTATTGTATAAATGCCCTGTAGCTTAAGGGTTTCTTTAGCTCTGGAACTCAAATAGATGTGCACATCATTTCACATATTAATATCTGCCAAGGTTCATGCGGCTTAAAATTTTTAGACTTGTTTCATGTTGTGTATGAGGGCACCTGCTAACAAGGCAATTGGAACTGTGGCATTTGTTTCATACGTCATTGCATGTCCCTTTTGTAATGGACAAGTTGGGAATTGAGATATTTCAGGATTTCATCTCGAAGTATAGATATGGCTAACTTTTTTCATTTCTTTTACAATATCTGTTATATATAATTTCCCTCAAAGTATGATGATTCCAATAGGAATTCTTGCTCTACAGGCCTGTGGAACAAATTCTATTTTTTAAAAATATTCCATAGCTTTTTGTTGGGCTTAAGATAATTAATAATAGTTCATGCAGATGTTTGGTTTTTCCACAATCACCTTTAACTTAAGAATCAAACTTGTATCATAAATTTGTTTTTGGTCTGTTTTGAGATGATTTGATAAGTTACATAGAGACCTAGAGTGATTATTACTTTTGAACTTCATGTAATCTTCAACTTATGACTGATCACTTAACAACCATTTTAAATTCAGGAGGCCCAGAATGGGTACTTTAGGCCCAGTAAAGCACTTCTGGCCATTATAAAATGTTGTGTCATGCTCCTCTGATCATGTGACCACATTTAGAGTGTTTGGCAACCGGCTCACTTAACTATTGTGAATCCACTAACCATGGTGATTCATTTAACAACCACTACACAAAATGTAAACTTGGGTCTGGTCATATGGACTTATAAACATAACAATTTATGACTGGAAATCTGATCCCGATTGTGGTTGTAAACTAAGGTTGTAAACCTGTAGGTTTACTGTAAAATAATCTGTGGCTGCTCTGAATTTTGAAGTATCCCAAGACATAGTATTATGCATGAGCCTTTACTCTGAAGAAAGATGAAGTATCTTTTTTAAACTATTTTTTTTTTCATTTGAAATCTCTCTAGATCAAACTCTTCTGTTCATCCCTTCCTGATGAAACTTACTTTGATTAGCTTACTAATCTAATACTTGGAGTATATTAACTAATAATCATTTAATACTTTGTGAAAAAATTAAAACAATATTCATTTTATCAAAGTATATTATAGGATCTAAAGAACTACACCTCTGTGAAAAATC